GAGAGAGAGAGAGATGTTTAGGCAGTCTGAATGTTCAATGTTGATTTGATAAAGATTCCAAATAATGTTTCCATCATTCTATAAAATTATATATTAGAACACTTGTTTTGCACTACATTGCCATTACTTATATGTATGAAATATTTTACGCTGCATAGCAAATTTTTGTGATCATTTTGAGATTTTAAAAGAAGATCCTTTTATTCTATGAAATAGTACAGAAACTGCAATTTGTGCGAGGAAGAGAAATCTTGAATACATAGTTTTTTTGGTCTGGAAAGGATAGCATGGTAGTTATACATGATATCTCTGATTCTTGTCATAGAATTGGGAGAAAGGGGGTCATGTTAATATTTGATCTGCAGGAAGCATTCTATGTTTGGGATACCTATTATAGGTGAGGAAACCCCAGAAGTGAGGAAATTAGCCAACATTGAAATGGGCTTCTATGTTGAATACAATGCTCGAAAATTCGGTTGCCTGACCGCCTAGGTGGTCGCCTGGGTGAAAATTTTTTTAAAACGCCTAGGCGCAGTCTGTGCAGGGGCATTATGCGTTTCGCTTCTTGGTGCCCACCTAGGCGCCGCCCCATGACAACTTGCGGGCGGTGGAAAAAAACCCTCAGGTGAGGGTAAAAAAATGTAATTTTTTCCTCCTAAAAAGGGGGGAAAAAGGTTTTAGGGGGTATTCTAAACCCCCAATAGAAAATCTGTGGCCTTTAGGATGAGAAAACCCCCTCAAAAACCTTTCTTTTGTGATTTATTAAAAGATCGATAAATTTTTTATTTTTTGATTTCTTCCCAAAACAAAGGCAATAGTTTATGGGTGGATTTGGAGCTTCTAATTATTTATTTTGAGAAATTTTGGTGACCCAATAGTCGAGGTTTGCACTGACATCAATTTGATTTTGATATTTTTAAAGTATTATATTTGAAAGAGGGTTTGATTTTATTTTGCTACAACATTTTATGTTGTGAATCATGTATTTTTTTTTTTACTTTTTTTTTTCTTGTACGATATGTTGTCATGTCTATAGTTAAAAGATTGATTTTTTTTGGTGATTTATTTTATTTTTTTCTCACTTGGAGAATGAAATTGAGTATATGTTGTATTCTTTTATGAATAATTGATTCTTTTTTTTGTACAATGTGTCTTATATTGATATTCTATTTTGTTTGTTTCAGTTTATTTGATAAATAATTAATTATATGATATCTTAATGGGTTAAGTCTTATGTGAAAGTGAAACTAAAGTCTTAAATTATCTTATATATTCAGTTATTCATTTAAGTCTTATTGTAAAGTAAAGTAATAATTAGTGTCTTAGTGACTTAATTCTTTAATAGTTTGTTGGGGGGGGAGGGGGATGTTTGATTTTGACGAGGGCACCCTGTCCCTGGGCACCTGCCTAGGCGGCCAGGAGCCCAATCCATTTTTTTGAACATTGGTTGAATAGTAAATATTTGAATCTTAAACATTAACTTCTTATCTATATTGACTGGGGAGTGTTGCTTCTAGTTATTGGATTTTCAAGAAAACCTTTTCCAAAATGTAGCGACTACATAAATGAAAAATTATTTAGGGCCAAGCTAAGGTAAAGTAAAGGATCAGCCTTTTGCTACGGGCCTACGATGACAACTTATAATTATATATTTCAAGATTGGTAAACTATTTTTTTTTTTTGTTACTTGGTAATGCGAGTTTTAGCCCTAAAATTTGATAACTTTAATACTAGGTATAGCCTTAAAATATGACTATCAAATACCTTAATATTGCCCATTATGTATGATCTAAAATTTATCAGTATATATATTTTATTTTTGACATGTTAATGGGGTGGGAATGGTTCCATCGATGTCACGTTGTGTCTCTACGTCCTGGTTACCCAGGCCAAGGGCCCATTCCTATTTATGGGTATACTGTTAGCATTAGCTTGAATGTGAATCATATAGTATCTTTTAGTGGGATGCTTACTTGCAAATCTTCCAGAAGACTCAAGATAATTTTATAGCTTCGATTCCATAAAAGCATGGATACTATAGGTCCACTATGAATCAACCAAATAATTGTTTCTTCCTCTTTTGGTTATGCATATGGAACAAAATCAACCATCGGTCTTAAAGTGTACCCACAAAGGTTACATTGGCATCAGAGTGTTTTAAGGTAAGGGTACATTTTCTGTTTTTTCTTGAGACAAGTGTGAGCTGCTTCCTTAGCATATACATAACCACATGTTAAGGTGAGCTTTTGCATGTATTTCTTTCTCTTAAGCTCTCTCTGGCTTGTTTAAATTTTTCTTTTGCAGACTTTGAGTTGTAGACGTGTAACTAACTCCTTTGACCACCATACTCTTTCAAGACTATGGGACCAATGTTCTGTAGATCTGCTGTTAGATATCTTGTCACCTTATTGGTGAGTTGTTAAAAAAAAAAAAATATATAGAAATCACCTTATGATGGGTTCTTTAGCAGCAAGGTCAGAGGACCTCTCTCTCCTAAATGCTAAATGGTTTGGTAGTGTTCCAAGACTCTGTTGCTAAATGCTTCTCTACTATGTGGGCAGAAAACAATTTATTTCTAATAACTTGAATTTACAAGCAATTGCCATCATTTTTTGTGTTTTTTTGTCTATTGGAGCATTTTTAGACCAAAGATAACAATTAGCTCATGCAAGATCCTTGGGTTCAAGGTGTGATGAAATAAAATTCTCAGGCCTATAGGATTTCAGTTTTGTGGGGCTAACTTTGTTCTCTTCTTATCTAGGCTTGCCTTCAGTGACAATGCTTGAATAAGGGTTTCGATATTCAGAGCTTTAGAATGAAAGTATAAATTATTGTGATATAATGAAACTCGTAACATTGACACTATTAACATGGAAATACGTACCAGAAAACAGTATCGACATGAAATGCGAAATGGCAACATTAGTTGACAACCATCTTAACACATTGGTGCTTTGTTATAAATTGCAAAGTTTGATGGTGGGTAAACTGGAAAGCAAATGCTCCTGACTCAGTTGAGCCCATTTGAGAAATATTACATTGTGTGTTCGTTGTTTCTTTTGCTTGTCTAGCAAAAGAAAAGACATATAGGCTTTATCGTAGAGTATTTACTATTGTTCTTCCTTGGGGCTTAATGGTAGAAATGTGGTTATGCTCTGTTGATCCAGAAATGCGAATATAGGCTTTCATATTAGAGAATTTCCTGTTCTTTATTGGGGCTTAATGGTAGAAATGTGGTAATGCTATACTGATCAAGAAATGCAACAGAATTTTTATCGTAGCTGTAATTCCTTGCAGAGGAGCTGATGCATGTATTTTCTTTGCATTTAGGAAATATTGGAAGAGGTAACCGATATCGACCTTGTGGTTAATCTAAAACTGAGAGGAGATGTGCTTCTAGAGAAGTGTCTTGGAAGGAGAATTTGCAGTGAATGTGGAGGCAATTTTAATGTGGCAACTATTGACATAAAGGGGGAGAATGGAAGGCCCGGCATATGTATGGCTCCTCTTCTTCCTCCTCCACATTGTGTTTCCAAGCTCATTACTCGATCTGATGACACTGAAGAAGTTGTACAAGAACGACTCCGTGTGTACAACAAAATGGTATCTCATCATTTTTTCATGCATTTCCTTTTATGGCTTTGGTTTGTTGTTAAAGCTCTCTCTGTCTCTTACTCCCTCTCTCATTCTGGATTACTTTGTTGTTGCAGAGCCAACCTGTGGAAGAGTTCTACCGTAGTCGAGGCAAATTGCTGGAGTTTGATCTGCCAGGTGGAATCCCCGAATCATGGCCAAAATTGCTTGCTGCTCTCAATCTTGAAGATCATGATCATAAACAAAGTGCAGCTGCATAATGTACCGGTGGTCCTTTTGTTTTGTTTCAAGACCCTTCATTTTTCATTATCTATTAAAAGAGAGTAGAGGAAAACGGACAGGATACGAGGATCTGCTATTATGTTGTTGTATTGTCATTCTAAGGGTGGGAACTCAAATTCATCAATTTTTTTAAATAAAGCTTTGGCTGTCGTAAGAGGCGGCCAAGAAAGCGGGCTTTCAGAGAAGCATACATCGATGTGCATCAATCATATGTCCAAAGATGGAGATGGATACGGTATTGAGAGTATTTGATATGAAATTTTGATTGAGGGAGGATGGATTCTCTATTATATTATCATGATTGATTCTTCTATTTTTATGTTCCACAATACTGTGCTTCAGTATATGCAGGACCGGATTGATAGCTATGCTAGGATTGTAGTTCATTTCTATGCCTAGGATTTTAGTCTTTGGCATGGGATCTGACTGTGTACTTCTCTCAATTTCTATCTATCCAGACGCATGAGCACATATACAAACCCTCTCTCTCTATCTGTGTTCCAAAACAGGCAATTCAGAATGGATTTGGCGGGGTCCACGTCTCTTGCTGGAATCACTGGATGGTACTATTTTAAATTTTTCTGTCTGATTTTTGGCGATCAGGATTGGATTAGTGGAGGCCTTATCCACCTGGATGATCTGGGTTTTAAAACACCGCACTTTCTCTTGACATTTGCATGTCAACATGCACAAAGCTCATGCACAGTCCGATCATGGTATGGATTGACAAAAGGTCATTACATTTGAAATTGGAAATTGGATGTTATTTATTGATTACACTTTCCAAAGAAATTTTTGAAAATTTTATCGAATGTGATGTTGTTTGTCGCTTGATTTCACATCTGAGAGGTACAAGTAATTGTGGGTAAACGGTCTCATGGTAACTTGTATGCTATGACTTCAACACGTTGGAATCAAGAAAGTATATTGAACAAGCACAGCTTCTCATTGAATTGCCCTCCATTGGATGGCTACAGGGATTGTTGAGCCACAAGCGTGTGAGTACCCAAGCAGTCAGTTTGAAGGGATCTGCATGAGCAATGAAAGATTCCATTGGATGCATTAAATTGATCCTTAGATGAAAAATTGTATGGCCAGATTCATTTTATTGACTATTCTCATGCTTCCAAAGAAGTTTTTTTGAACTTTGTGAAACACCCAAACTATCATATTTCTTTCATATTTCATATAAGATGGTTATAAGTAATTGTAACCTCCTTGTATTAAAAGGTAAATGGCCTCATTGTATACAATCTTTTTATGTAAATGGTCTTAACTATGAACTATCTTATGTCTTAATTCATCTTCAAGCCATGATTTGAAATTTTAGGCATTGGTTCATTTATAAAATCAAAATAGAACAATTATAAAATAAAATATAAGTACAAAAAATTGACTAGGATTCTATATCATGAGACCATTTATTTTGTTACAAAGAGGTCAGAATCACTTCTAGTCATCAAATATCAATTTGGATAGCTTGATGTGTGCCATGAAATTCAAGAATTGCTTTTTTTTTTTAACTTTGAGTCTAGCTATTAACACATTTACAAGCACCCGATTTAAAATTGTTAAAAAAAGAGAAAAGATTGCGACCTTTTTGTACTAAAAGTAACTATCTCTTTGTATACTTTTCCAATTTGATTTGGGGTAAATGTTGATGTCTGATGGAGCTGTTCATTCACAAATAAGAGGAGAACTCACAAATCAAATAAAACTGAGGAATGACTTCATAGTTGTATAGCAGTATAATGAAATAATTTTAAAAAACTATGCTAAGGCCATTTGTTTGATCCTAATTTTTAAATATATATTGCTTTTATTGTAGTGAATAATCATAAAAAAACAAAATTTGAAAACACACCCTAAAATGTAATTTTCTTTTTAACCCAATTAACGTAAGCCGTCTGTTTTGATAAAAGCTTAGATTTAAGCCTTAGAAGATTTTTTTCTTTTCCAAATTTTTGAATGGCTTTAGTATCGTAAAATTTGAAAACACACCTTAAAAAGTATTTTTTAGCTTAATTAACATAGGGCACCATCCATTTTGGTAAGATACTTAGATCTAGACCTTGGAAGATGTTTTCCTTTCCAAATTTTTTAGATGGCTTTATTATCATTAGATGAATAATGTTAAAAAAAAGAAAAAAAAAAAGATTTTGAATTTTTAGAGGCCTAAATCTTGAATTTTACAAAATGGATGGTCTAGACTCATTGTTTGAGAGGGATTCAGTTTGACCACATCTAGAGTGTAATTTTTTTTTTTTTTTTTTGGAGATTGGTTATTAGGAAGAAAAGAAGATGTGTACAATTTTTAAGGTCAGAATAATGCCACAAACATGATTTTTTAAAGGAAAAAGTTTATAGGTTGCAACTTTAAAATGTAGAATTACAGATGCCCTTAAAAAATCCATCAGAAAATGTTATTTTAATGTTGAAAAAACTTCTAATTGATTGTCTCAATATCGAGATATAAGAATATGAAAAAAGAAGAAGAAGATTTAGAGTGCAAGAAGTAGTGCATCTTGCAACACATTATCTAGACCATCTATTTTCAAGATTTTCATATGTTTATAGAGTCTATTTGATTTTAACTATTTTTGAAGTTTAAAATTTTATAATTAAATATAAATTTTAAGATAATCCTAATAATTTTTTACACCAAAATACATATTATGATAAAATTTAGAGGTATGTCTTAATTGGATTGTTTAAAATTACAACCATATAGAAACCACACCAATGTTAGTTTCAATGACATGAAATTATTCCCCAAGAAAAATAGCCTTGATCTCTTTTTAAATTTTTTTTCACTAGCAAACTCACCCATCCATAACTTAAAAAAACCACCCAACTCCTCAATAGCCATCTTCTTCATCTCTTTTTTACAGCACACCACTTTATTACTCTCCCGTCTTCACAGCTCATCTGCAGCTTTTTTGCCCGAAGGAAAAGTGTACAGTACAATGCACTCCATTAGAGTAGGATCTTAAACAGTGTGCTCCCAATATACATATGCGAGGGAAGGATAAAGACATGTTAAACACAAAACAGGCATAAACGTGAATATGAACCACCCCTTTCTCTTTATTCCGTTCTGAATTTTTCCTTCTCCGATCAACATCCCCGTGAACTTCCATAAAACAGCTCTCTCTCTCTCTCTCTCTCTCATATAAGCATTTCATCAAGTCCCTCCTTCTATCTTGTTGACCTTAACGATGGCAGTCATGTACAAAATGTTATTTGGATACCTTTTCATAAATTTTTTCTAAAACTCAATTTTGATGGAAGTTCGAACCCAAACCAGGCAGAATTTGGAGGGCCTAAAGCTGAGGCAAGAGCTCTTTTGGAGGGCCTAAAGCTAATAAAATATTTTGAGGCCCAAAAAATGACGGATGCGGTTTGTACAGAGCATAGGCTCCAAACAATCAAATTCAATGTTTAAAAGAACGGCCGATTTCTAAAAAATCAGCTGACTAACTTGGGATCAGTCATTGGCCGATCCTGATTTGGCCCAATTCCAATGGTCATGTATGCAGGAATTTTTATTCAATGCACTAATCTGCCGAATAATGTACTAATCGACAATTTGTTCTAAAAATCGGCCGATAAGTGCAATGTCACAATGCAAAGTATGTAAAGATGTCCTTATAACATTTTTATATATTTCTCATATTTTTTTTCTTTTTCCTAATCTTCTATGAATATGGTTCCTATGTTGTGAGCCCGCATATTATAGAAATGTGGGCTTGGCAATAAATATATTTTTTAAATAATTTGATCCAAATTTTTTATGGAGATCATAAATATGAAAGAAAATAAATAATTTGAAAACTAGAAATAATAATTATGGTAAGAAAACTTGTGGACCATTAGTTACACTTGTTTTTATATGGACTACCTATTTGCATCCATATTTAAGATGGATGCTTTATGCCTCTGAATTGCGTATGGTAGAAACGCTGTCTAGCCCGCATGAAACAATTTTCCTTCTTCTATTTAAATTTTATATATTATTATATACACCAGAGTTGGGTAGCCCCGATAGGGATGTAGGTCCCTCAACTCGAGGGATATAAAATTTATTTATTGTTCATTTGATTTGATCTTCAATCTAATACCTACACGACCAACCCCCTGAGGGCCACATAGACACATATATGAGAGAAATTTATTCTTGTCAAAAAAAAAAACAAAAGAGATAGAAATTTATCAAAATTATCACAAGCAAAAATTTTATATTTTACCTATACTTTTAATTGAATTCCGAAATACCCAAAAAGAACAAACATGGTATTGATTTGAAATGTTATAATATTTTATTATATATTATATATTAATATATTTATTTTATTTATATAATTTATAGTATATAGTATATATTGATTACATAGTATATATAATATATAATATTAATATATTTTATTATATATTGACCGCTAAAAAAGTATTGCTTTAGGTGCCTACACATTTTCTCCGAACCCAATTATGCTTATAATATTTATTTGTTTTGCTTTTCTTATGAGACAATAAAAAAAAAACTATACATGTATATTTTAAACATTTTTTACGATTATGCTTATAATATTTATTTGTATGAAATTCTTTAAACATAGGGAAAACCTCATTTCTAGCTTTTAACATATATACCGAAGTGACACGAGTATAATCATTTGTAAATGTCACAAAATATTTGTAGTCATTATAGGATTCAACAGGGGTTGGTCCCCACACATCATAATGTATCAAGTAAAAAGTTCATCATAATCATGCATTGAAGATTTAAAAGGAAACCTAGGCAACTTGAAATATGTGTAAATCTCACAATCATGAAATCCTATAGTTAAGTTTGGCATCAAAATTTTCAAAACATTTTCAGATGGATGTCCAACTCTAGAGTGCTATAATCTACCATTATTAATTTCCATAACCATAACGTAATTCTTTTAATCCAAAAAGTAAAGACCATCCATTTTCCCTTCACCAATCTTTGTCCCCGTGGCCCGGTCTTGAAAGATAATAGAATGAGGATGAAAAATAATATCACAATTCAAAATTTGAATTAGTTTGCTAACTGACAATAAGTTGGAAGGAAAAGAAGGCAAATAAAGAACCTCTGAATTGTGGTTCCAATGCCATGAACAGAAATTAATCTCACAATTCAAATTTATTCTACCAATGCCATGAACATAATTAAAGAACCATTGGCAATTTATACATGAGTTTTATTGACGACCTGTTGAAACTGAGATAGGCAAGAAAGATTGCCTGTCATGTACTCAGTTACTTCTGAATCCATCACCCAAGTAATAG